CCCCAAAACCCCAAAACCCCAAAACCCCATCATCTATGATAGAATGATTTTGTAAAAGCTCAATAAATTAAATGCACATTTAAACTATTCAGATTTTAAGAACATAAATTGATGTTGATTTATCAATTATTACCATGGCCAGTATAAGAATAACCATAATTAGGTTGCTGTTGTTATTAATAGTTATTTTGCAATTACTAATTGTTTAGATTTTATTGCTATTACTGCTACTGTTACTAAAGTTATTATTATTCTCTTTCCTTTTATAGTTAGGCAAAATTACTTTCCATCTGTGTGCCAGCTGCTACCCATTGCTGTCCAAAGGACTGTGCATAATAGTTATTCATTTAAGGATAACCTGAAGACTTCTACTCTTCCTAATAAACCTAGTTTGATGCAGGCGGAAGCACCATAGGTTACTGTTGCATTGTTGGGGGCTAAATCATGGTTTATTATTATACAGGTGGCTAGCTTATATATATAGTTGAAGGATCATTAGGATCAAAGTAAGCAAACTATTACTGAAACGATGAGCTAGAGAATTCTTATATCAAAGGGTTAGGACCTGCTCTTCCTTGATGTTTTCTGATCTCAGCCAATGTGTACCTGTAAACTTTGTTGAATTTTCCACAACCTCCTTCCATAAACCAGATCTTAAACTCTGCATCATTCGGTAGTTGGTTAAACAAAGGCTTCGTCGTGCCTGACCAATAATTTGCGCCAAATATTGGCTGGTTAAATTTCTCTTTAAAGGTGAGAGCATGAGGGATATCGAATGATTTAAAATCAGATTTCTGCATGTTTTTAAAGTTTATCAGAACCATTCTGCTCGTTGTTAACACAAGCTATAAATATTGTTAATAGATAAATATTACAAATCCAGATCCCTTGAACTTGCCCAAACCTTCAACCTTAACCTCGAAGTCTATCCCTTTTCTTTACATAACGAAATGCTCTCCTTCAATTCTGAAAGGCTCTCCTGTTTCACCTAGAGGTGGATTTAATGCCATTGCAATTTAATTTATTTAATTATATATTTATAAATAAAATGATATTGTAGACAAAAGAAAAAAGGTTAGCTCTTGAGCAGCTGAATGAGTCTAACTCCCCGTTTAAGGAGAGCTATACTCGAAAAATATTCAAGAACACTGCTAATCTCACTTTAAGTGGGTCAACCTATGATGCAAATCATATGGATAGATTCCTTAGCTCTAAGTTCTGCACAGGAGTTAATCAAACTGCCAACGTTAATGATTATGACATGAAAATTGGCCAGTCTAACAGAGGAAAAAGTCTAGCCGGTAAAACTGCTGACTCACTAAAAAATAACTCTAATCTCCTAAAATCATATTTGAATAACAGCTAAGCAGTGCGTCCTAGCGTCTCGTTCACTAATTAGTCAAGGGATTAAGTTCCCAGAGTTATAACTTACATTGATCTCTATGATGGTCCCTCTTAACTTTAACTCAGAGAAGGAACCACCACACTAAATGAGAAGGGCTAAAATAACATATATGAACAAGAGCGAAGTCAAGTTTAGGAGAAGCTAAACCAGAGTGTTCAGTACTTGAAGTCTGCGCAAGATTAGTTAACTAAGAGGGAAGAAGAAAATACTTCAGCCTTGAGATCACCCAAGTAGAGAAGAGATGAGTTACAATAAATAAAGTAAAACCTTGAGATATACAGCGAGTTTAAGCAACAGCAAATGTTTGTTGGAAAACGAGAGAGGCTTCTTAAAAATGGTTGGAGACATGGCATTGTTGGAGTTGAGAATTCAGGTACGGTTGGTGATCAGTCTCAATCAGTTTTCTATAAAGAAGCAACATTAAAAAAGCTAGGAGAGCAGCAAGAAAGAGAGGCAATCAACAGACGAAGGTCTAAGAGTAAGAATATTTCTTGATTGTAACTTTTATATAGAATTGGCACTAGGAATGCAAACATCCACGCTAATAGATTTTGGCATAAGTGAGGAGCATAAAAGATCAACTAGTCTATTCAAGTCTCCAGAGAAGGTCGTAGATATAGCAGACACCTGGAGATGCAAGGGGAAATCTCCAATGAATCAAGGAAGTTAAAATACATATGAGAGAATGTTTAAGCCTAATGATTTCAAGAATGGGGATCATGGTGATCCTAAAGTGGGTGGAGGCATTAATGTGAGAATTGAAAGAACTATAAAGCTCAGAGAAGAAGATTAAAAAGGAAAGTAGTTTAACATCTTGAATGGATTGAGTGCTACACATGATCAATGGCTTGGAGCCTATAAAGGTCAATAAATCTCTCAAACTAACAGAGTCACTATCGAGGATAACAAAGAACATTGGAAGTAATAACTTCTCTTATGATAATATTGGTGCTCAAACACTTTTACGATTTTAATAAATGCGTTTATTTTATAAAATAAACTAAAGAAAATCAATTTTCCAGATTATCATTGCAAGGGGTTTTGGGGTTTTGGGGTTTTGGGG